TTTCTCCTCATCACTTAAAACTTCATCTACAAGATGGTGGAATTCGCCGTAAGTTTCTCTTCGTTGATGGATGCTATGAACCCAAAACCTTCTTCTAGTATGACAACGTCTTTTTTTCAAACAATTTAAAATTGTTAATATTTCAGCTGCCATGTTTCAATTCGAATTCCGTACTATACACAACACGCTGGAACAGTGACGGGTACACTACATTATGTCATACAGCACGACACCAGTCGGCAGACAAATCTCGAAGTATTCAAGCGCGATTATACTTCCCTTAGTAGAGTTATTTTGGCGTGAAGAGAGTGGGCGGGGCTTACACCAGGTAGACTCTAGAGTCTAGAGTGTTCCTGGCGGCCGCCAATCTGACTCTAGAGTATGTCTGGTGTGAGAGTCATTCTGGCGTGCCCCCAAGTGATTAGCTTCTCGGATTCGCAACCATAAAGTCGCGGGTTTGAATCCAGTTGGAGACCGACGTTATGTCCTTGAAAAAGGCACTTTACACGAATTTTTCTCTCTTCACCCAGGTGGAAATGGATAACCGGGTAACGACAGCCAAAGAGCTTGTCAGTTTGTTATTGCTTGAGCGCGGAAATCCGCTGCTTGCGCCGTACGCTTACTGGGAAGCCGAGAAGTTTCTGAGTGTTCTAGGGTTTACTGGGGTGATAACAGTTGTAAAGCACACAGAGCCGGTGTCACAGGATATTTCGGAACCGGACGAATGGGAACCATTCCGATTCATCCTGGCGTGGTGGCAGGATTTTTGAGAACTATTCCGATTAATCCTGACTGTAGTGGCAGGATATTTTGAACCACCAGGATATTTCGGAACCGACTAGAAGGTCATTAGCCCACATGAATTTTTGACTTTATGACTTTTTCTAAACAGATTTTGTGGCCGCTTTGATGAGGTTGGGCAATAAATCTCTTCTCACTGTAATAGAATAAAGCTTACTAAAATACTAGTTTATAGTCCAAGGGACACGATCAAGTAATTAAGTACAAGCTGTTAATTAAGCATTGTTTGCCCTTGTGAAGAGCAGCAGAAAGTAATGATCAGCAATATTCTGTTTGCATCATTCCATGTCAAAATTCACTGAGTTACAATTCACTGTACTCCAGCAGCGTGAGATTACCAGCTCCAACGAATATCTGTGAAATGGAGAGTGAGAGAGAAGTGCTACATGACGGGAGTAAGCCTATTGTTTTTGATATCTCAGATCA